TTCCATGTCATTATAATAGCATAATTGTGTAAGCACAATTGCTTACTTGCTTTCTGCCCACTAAGTGTGAACTCTTTGAGAATGGAGTCTGTGTCTTGTTCACTGCCATCCCCTGGTGAGTGGCACATCACACAAACTTGGTATATTTTATGGAGAGGACGGGTGGATAAGGTGACTCATTTCAAGTCCTCAGTTTAAAACCCTTTTGAACTCTGTGGAGGACCCAGTGCTGGGCTGCCTATGCTTGGTTTATAACTGTGTCTATGCCCTTGACTTGGAGTCTATGCACCCAAGAGGGAGGGTCAGTTCATGCATGGGATTCAGGATGGGATGAGTACATCTGATGGAATTGAATGTAATATTTTATGTGCATGTTCATTTTTCTGGAGAGGGTGCACATAGCTTTTTATCAGCTTTTCAAAATGATTCATGACTCCCCCAAAGCGTAAGTAATCCACATGCGTATATAATGTTTGACTTTAGCCCGAGTGGAGGGGAAAGGATGGAAGTAATAAGTTCTGGTTTTATATATAGGACAGCACCAGCCATCTGCTGGAGACACTGCATAGTGGACAGTCATTTCGAGGCCCTTAACTTCTGCAGATTGTTTGTCATTCTGCCTGATGTTTCCTAAACACCATAAAATAATCACATGTCTGAAGCTGAGTTGCAATTTTGGATTTTAGAAGGTCATGGGCAGCAGAAGAGATGTTGGGAAGTGGCAGTCCCAAAGAGAAGGAATCAGAGATGTTGGTTCCAAGGGAGACAGAAAGGTTGGCTGGTGATACAGGAACATTTGCTGTGTGCAGTAGACTCTGAAGAGTGGAGCTGGGACCAATAGGTGAGTATTGCAGAGAGTCCATTTCTGTTCTTACAGAGAGAGAACTTTCCCCCAGTCAAAACTGCTTAACCATGGAAGTCTGTCTTCATGGGTAGTGAGTTTCTTGTCACTAGAGAAATCCAAGAAAGGCTGAATAAACAAATATCTGGGGTAATAATTCTAAGGGTAGGAGTTTTCTTGTCAGTCAAAATCTCAGGTAATTTCATTCATTTGGAAAGGCATTTCACTTTTCTTAATTTGGTTCCTAGAAGAGCTTCCATTACACCAATCTCAGCCCGTTTCTAAGCTTTTGAAGTCAAGGGCTTCTGCAGGCTGGCTGATTCTAAATAAACCAATAATATTCTGAGCAAGAATCTCTCTGGATAATGTACTGAAATATATTCTTTCAAAATATGGGACAGATAAGCAAAATAGCTTTTATTCCGATGTGCTCTGTTTTCTTGAACATCCTAGAAGCAACTGCTCTTGAAGATTGAGCTGTCGGAGCCAAAGGCTCTGAAATTAATGAAATGCAATTTTCTGACATTTTGTGATAAATTTCTGGCCTTTTTATGCATGCTTCAGTCTTAGGGGTGAGCAGAAGCAAAACTACTCACCAGAAGGTTATTTCGACAAGCTTCCTCCAACCATCTCTCTATTGTCTTTTTCTGATCACAGCTTTTTGTTTTGCACTGAATAACAATAAAATAAAAAAATAAGAACAAGTGAGAGAGAGAAACCAGCAACGCAATGTTCAGCCAACAATGCAAACAGAATAAAAAATGTTCTTCGATTTTAGACAAAGGGAGAAACATTTGGTTAAGGGCAAACAAAAAAAAGAAAGAAAGAAAAACTTTATAAAAACCAGATATTGGGAATACTGCAACTTTTCTGAGCAACAAAAAGATCCATCTAGAATGGTATTTTCAGTTCTAATATATCCTTAGGTGCTGTGAACAAACAATTTCAGTTCAGATCCTTGTTTCTTGGGGGTTTTGTTCAGCTAAGTTCCTCTTTCAGACTTGGAGCCCAGTGCCCTAAGTCTAGAGGAATCCTGATCTTCCCTGATCTTGCTTCAAGCATACCATGCTTTTGAACTTGTCTTTGCACTTGCTTTTCCCTCTGCCTGGGACATCTGATCCCTATGGCCAACTCCTTGAGACCACCTGAACTAAAAATCTCCACCTCCACTCTCATAGCCAGACAGGATCAATAGCATCACCCTGTTCATTTTCATCATAACGCTTCTCATTATCTGACATAATGTTGTATGTTTATTTTCTTGTATAGTATCTGTCTTCCTCAAGTGAAATACAATCTCCGTGAAATCAGAGTCCTTATCGACCTGGGTCACAGCTTATTTTAGTTAGCATCAGGAGTCCCACACCACGTGCCCCTCAGTGGACCTGGACCTATGGTCAGTGTCCTCAGTCCTCTTGGCCACTTGCACATGATTTTCTCTCCTTCCTCCCTAGAAGCCCTCAGCTGCTTTGAAGGCTGTCAGACTATACTACCCAGTACCCCCCTTTTTTTTTGCAATTGTCTACTTCCCTCCTGAAGACTCCTCACTCACTAATAACTTCATTACCTGGTTTACTGTTTCTCTCTAGACCGCTCAGGATTCTTGGTGACTTCCACCGCTATTACAAACTTCCCTGGCTTCTCGGTTTCTTAAATTGCTCACTGCCCCAATCCTGTCCTCCTACTCCTTAGCCACCTGCTCCCATCATTCGTCTTTACCTATAATGTCATTTTGCACATATCAGGACCTCCAAACCACTGACTTGATTACCCCTCACTCTCAACTCCCCTGCTCATGTCCCACCTCCCTCCTTACCTTCTTTAGAGTCCCACATCTATCCACAGAATTGCTGCCTCCCATCATTATAATAAACTCTCTCGCCCTTGTCTCATTCTTGGTATTTGCTTGGCAAAATTCCAATTCTGATTAAATCCCACTCTGCCTACTTCTCACTTCTCACAATCATGGCTGGAAAAAAAACTTCAAAAAACACATTTATTTGTCTCATTGTAAATGTATGACCACAAACCTCAAGTGAGCCCTCAAGTGCTGCTGGGCAGTGCTCTGATCCTCTCCTAGTTAATTCACTCTCCAAGAGGACCATTTCACACTCTCTCCTCTCTTCTCAAACCCCTCTATGCCAATGATCCCTCCTAACTCTCATCTGATGACCAACTCTGTTATTTCACTGAGAAAATAGAAATTCCCACTGCCATACCCATTGATCTGACTGCACACTGAATCTACAGCGCCCACCTCTCTCCTCTTACAAGGAATGAAGTGTCCACACCTCTGTCAAAGGGCAAACCCTCAGCACTGGATCTCCTTCCCTCCCCTACTCAAGGTCATTGCTGCTGTACTGCTGTATCTCCCCGAAAATAAGACCGGGTCTGATATAAATTTTTGCTCCAACAATCTACATTTATTCATTTATTCATGTACAAAAATCTACATTTATTCAAACAGTAATGTCTGGCTGATAATCATAACTGGGGTTTATGTTTGGGGTCGGGCTTATGTTATGAGCATCCTGAAAAATCATGCTAGGGCTTATTTTCCAGTTAGGTCTTACTTTTGGGGAAACATAGTAGCTCCTCCTTCTTCTGTGTCATCACTTTCCCTTCCTCCTGGGTCATCCTTTTCAGCATATGAACATGCTGTGATATCTCCCATTGTAAAAATTAAAGTAGCCTCCGATACCACCATCTTCTCCAGCAACTGCCTCAGGTGTCTCAGGTCACAAACCTGAGAGTCACTGTTGACTCCTCTCTCTCACACACACCCCACTGCTATTCAATCAGCAAATTCTTTTGATTCTACTGTTAAAAATTTATCCAAAGTCACTGTCTCCACCACCACCATCCTGGCCCATACTGCAGTCAACTCTCTTGGGTTATTGCAGTAGTCTCCTAGCTGGTCTCTCCACTTCCACCCTTGCCTTCCCTGCCTACACCATATGTATTCTCCACACAGCCAAAGTGATCCTCTAAAATGTAAATCAGAACATGAGTACTCTTGCCCCAAACCTCCCAGAGCTCCCCATCACTCTTAGAATAAAACCCTAAATCCTCACCGAGATCTACAAGGCTCCCTGTCAGCTCTGTCCAATTGAGCTTTCTTCAATGATAGAAATGGCCCACATGTGTGCTGTGCAACATGGCGGCCACAAGCCACTTGTGGCTATTGAGCACTTGAAGTGTGGCTGCAGCATCTATTGGGTTGTCGGAAAAGTCATGACTCATTTTTGCAATGAAAAACAAAAAAAAAATACGTCATGACTTTTCCGACAACCCAATAGAAACTGAATTGTAAAGTTGATTTCATTTTAATTCCTTTAAACTTAAATAACCATGGGTCGCTAGTGCCTCCCATATTGGACAATGCAGCCTACACAACCTCTCTAACTTTGCCTCCCACTTCTTTCTTTTCTCACTTGGCTCCAACCAGATGAGCCTTCCTGATGCTCCTAGAACATTTTAAGCACTTTCTCCCCTCATGACTTTTGCACTTGCTCCCTTGTCTCTCTGAAATGTACTTCCCCTGCATATTCAAATGTCTTACTTCCTCACTTTATTCTGGTCAAATATCATCTCCTCTGAACACCCTCCCAATAAAGGCATCACCTATTACTCTCTATGTTCTTTCCCACACTTAATTTTCCCTTTTGGCACTTTTTGCTACCTGATATGATATTATTGCTTGTTTGTTTGTTCTTTATCCATCTCCTCTGTTAGTTTATAAGCTTCATAGGGTGGAGGGTTTGTTTTTGCTCAGTATTGTAACTCCTGTGCTTAGTTGGTAGTTTGATTGTAAGTTGAATGAATGAATGAATGAATGAAACAGACTGGCCAACAGTAAGCACTTACGCTAAGTATCATGGGATACAAAAGAAACCCAAGGCTGGTATCTAAATCCAGAAGTCTACTGGAGATGATGTGGCATCAGAATCAAATATTTGTACAATGTGAAAGGGCCTGTGTGGAGTGCTGGGGCCTCTACTACTGTCTTAGAGTATGGTGTGGGTGGGCAGGTCTGCCAAGATTGACATGGTGAGCAAAAGGTGATGAAAGAGAAGATTTTCTGAAGAAAAGCACATGAAGGACACGCTATGGCTGAGAGGATTTGGTCAGGGTCCCTAGGGCAAGAGCATACCTTGAGCAAGGACATGGAGGCCACAGGTTAGATAGAAAGTCTTCCTCTCTTGTCACATGTGAGGCCTCTCTGACCTGATGCACAGCTGCTTTGGGCCCCTGCTGTCTAAGACAAATTTCTCAACGTTACACTCCAGGATTCACTCTAATGAAGCTCTTACCTGTTCACAATAATATTACAAATGGTCTGGTGGCTTTTTTTAGTGTTGCATTTTGCTGTGGGCATCCTCTAAGCTTCTCCATTGCATTTAATTTTAAGTCCCTCAGGATGAGGAGCAGAGAGCCTCCTTGGGCCTTGAGTTTAAGTGGTTTTCTCCAATTCAGCTTCACCTGTAATAAAGCAGATGTTTGTTTCTCTCTCTCTCCCTCCCCACCCCCCTCTGATTTCTGTGCCTGTTTATGGTTTAAAAATCTGTAGATCCAGGGCCGGCCGAGTGGCTCAGCTGGTTAAGAGCTCGCTTGGGACACCAGCTCTGAGCAGCAGGGCTGCGGTTTGGATCCCACATTGAGGGCCAGTGACGGTTGCCCTCTACAGCTAAGATGATGAACAACAGCTCGACCTGGAGCTGGGCTGCTGTAAGTCGCCAACGACAGCGTAGGCTGCAGCAGGGCTGCCATGAGCTATGTGAGTGGCTGGCAGCCAGGCTGAGCGGCTGGCTGGTAGCTGGTGTGAGCTACCGGGAGCTGCTGTGAGCGGATGACCAACGACCGGTGACCGATTGCCTCACCCGGGAAGAGCACAATGATCATACTAACATGGGACCGTGAAGCGATGTCCTCCACAACTAGACTGAAGAACAAAACAGCAATTTGTCTACCTGTCTGTTCCCCTTCCCCAATTCCCCAATGCTGTTACCTGCCCCCCAATTCCCCAATAAAATCTTTTAAAAAAATCTGTAGATCCGATTCAATGCCACCCTCAGAAGCCCCACTCTTCCACAAACTATTCAAAATGTGGCCTTTTCTGGAAGCCTTCCCTGACCCCCATCAGACTTAGTGGCTCCCTCCTCTGGCTTCTACTGCCCTTTACACACACTGGACAAAGGGCTTAAGACATTGTCATGAGGCAAGCTTCTGAAGCATTGGCCTGTGTTTGCTCCTTGTCGGTTCCCCTAGTTCTCAGCACAGCACAGATGCCCAGTAACTGTTCCTTAAATCCATGAATGGCAGAGACAGTCAAACTTCCAAGACAGGAGGCAGCACAGAGGCTCTGGTAAAACCCCAAGCCCCATTTTTTAGTGACCATGCGAGAGTTATCTCTATGCCAAAGGGGTTTCTCTGTACCCAAGACTCCAAGGCACATTCCTCAAAGCCCAAGCTTAAAATGATTTTCTGGGCTCAGGCCTTGTCTTTGTAAAATGTAGGTTTTTCCCTATGCCCCCATTCCCACCCTACACTAATGACTTCCCATGTCTGGCTGCCCTCTAGGTCATTTCATTGAGTCACCATCTTGGATAGAGAAAGCCATAAGCTACTATTAAAAACCAACCACTTTGAATCTTAATTGAAACTTGCCAACTCTAAAAACCCATTTTTTCAGACAACTCAGTAATTTGAATATGGAACAAGTAATAGAGAATTGTTATTTTGTTACTTTTATTAAGGGTGATAAATGCTGATGTATTTATCAGGGGTGCCAAAAAATGTATACACATTTTAAGAGATGTTATCTATGCTCAAGCAGTAGTTCGCTGTAATCAGAAGTGTCTGGACACTGATGGTAACCACTTAGAGCAGCTCTTGTAATTGCAGAAGTCAAGCCAACTTGTATTCATCTTTTGTTATCTGTATATATTGAGTATTACAATTAATACAACTTTCCGTGTTTTAAAATGTGTATACATTTTTTTGGCACCCTCTGTGTATATATTTAAACTTTTTAGCAGTTAGAAGTGCCTCCAGAAGCATTGACAGGTGAAATGATATAATATCTGGAATTTGCTTTAAAATACTTTAGGAAAATAAAGGTATGAGGGAAGAGATGAAACAAGATTGGGAAGAATGGGTAATTTTTATTTTTTTTGTAGAGAAAACATTTTATTGAAGAAATACTTATTGAACAATACAGAAAATGCACAAAACCATACATGTATAGTTTAATAAATTTTCTCAAAGTGAACACATTTATATCACTAGCACCCAGATCAGGAAACAGAGCATAACTGGCACCCCAGAATCCCTTCTCCAGGTCCCTGTTAAGAGGCAGTCAGCATTTATATATATATATTTTTTATTAAATTATTTTTTATTATGAAATACACATTTTTTAGAATTAGTTTCAGCTGTACAACACAGTGCAATAGTTATACTTTTTACCCCCTCGAAGTGATAACCCCCTCCCCCAATCCACCGCCCCATTTCCCCCCAATATCATACATATCTATTACAAATCACTTGACTCCACTCCCACGCTATACTCCACATCCCATGACTCTCTGTCTTTCTCTCTCTCTCTCTCTCTCTCTCTCTCTCTCTCTCTATATATATATATATATATATATATATATATATATATATGAATGGGTAATTTTTGAAGTTAGGTTATAGGTACTTGGGATTTCGTTTTACTCTCTCTACTATTATATATGTTTGAAATTTCTATTACTATAAGAAGTCAACCTCTTGGAGTCTCCCTTCTCGAGCCTGCAAACTAAAGAAACTCTGCCTCAGACCCCAGAGAGTCACCCCTTCAGGGAGTGTCCTGTGGTCTTTTGGGTTGAATGTGTATATTTCTATGTTTCAGTTCAAGAGCCCACAGATCTATTAGTAAGACAGCTTTATTAATAACCCTCAAGTTCAATTAAAAAAAAAAGAGCTGTCAATGATATCGAGCTTAAAAGAAGGATGAGGTGAGTCTGCAAAGGTCACAAGGATTAGGAGAGTCCAAAGGGGGCCAGTGCCTGGTATAGGGCGTGCCCTTTATCACAGTGAGAGAACTTTCCTGCCCCAGAAATAGCCACACAGTCCAGGGTGGATAAAAGCAGACACTCTAGCTGACTGTGAGCAGAATTTCCCCCCGCAGGGCCTAGTGCCAGAGCCCAGACCACCCAGCAGTGGGAGTAATTAAGCTAGAAAAGGTCACTAATTCATAATTTATGTCTAAATGGCATGATTGGACCAGCAACTCCACCCCCTTCCCTAGTGCCCACCATAGCATTGAAAAAAAGGGGCCATCTGGAGATTTCCAGAACAGCAAAGACACTGGCCTGCTTCCCTGGGGGCAGATCATGCCTGTCAGAACCGAGGACAATCTGTTGTGGGGACACAACTGTTCTCAGGTGGTTAGGGTGTTTCTGAGGGCCTATACTAGGGGACTTTATCAAGGCCATCCCCTTATATTTGAGGTCACTCATGAATCACTTATCAAGTCCACATAATAACCACAGAGCTACTATTTATTAAGCACTTACTGTATGCGAGGTCTTTTTTCAGGTATTATCACATTTAATCCTCCTGACAACTCTAACGAGTGGTCATATTACATCCTCTTCTACAGATGAAGAAATGGATGTTGAGGGAGGCTGGGTTGTACACATTGAATTAATCAGAGCCCCAGGATTCATATCCATGCCTGACTAACACCAAAGCCCATGTTCTTCATCTCCCCATGGGTCTTGCCCATTGGCAATTGTCTTGGGATGAAAACAAGGGGCATCCAAATCTCTGGGTGACAGTTAACTGTGATCTTGTTTCCTGTTTTTATCAGAGAGGGCAGCATGGCTTGACTAGCTCATCTGAAGGCTGGCAGTGGCTGGAAGGAAAGGAAGCTTTCTGCTCTGCTGCACATTTTTTTCATCTTGCTCAGGCCTGTCAACAACAGAGCTTGTCACCAACAACCCATAAAGCAAGTTGTGAGTCTTCACAAGTGTGTGTGGCACCGGCCTGGGACCTGGCCTGCTTTGTGTAGACACCATCCCTGTTGGCCTCTGACATTCCGGGTCTGCAGCAGGGACCTCAGCTCCTGCTCCCAGTCCTGCTGGCCTTTAGCTTTGATCTCTCTGGTCTTGTAAAGCAAACCTCTTGGCTGCAGCTGCAGAGCTTATGGTAAATGTCAGGACCCCTCGTTCCTGCCATTTAGTTGGTGACTATTGAGAACCCAGTTCCAGCCGCACCCTAATGTCTCAACCTCACCCAGCTAGGACCCCAGGGAGGTGTCTGTGACATGCACTTGCTCTTTCTGGCTTGAGTGTGGTGACTCCCTGATCAAAGGCTGTGCTTTGAAACTATCCAAAATCTTTTTATATGATCTATAATTCCTTACTTAGTAGTTCTCTTTTTAAAGATTTTTATTTAAAATATAGCTAACACACAATGTTATATGCGTTTCAGGGGTACATCATAGTTATTCACCATTTATATACCTAAAGAAGTGATCACCATGATAAGTCCAGCGACCATCTGACACTATACCATGCTATCACAATATTATTGACTATATTCTTCATGCTTTACATTGCATCCCTGTGACTTATTTGTTTTATACCTGGGAATTTGAACCACTTACTACCCTTCACCTTTCCCCCCTCCCTTTTTAATTTTTCAATTACAATTAACATTCAATATTATTTTATATTAATTTCAGGTATACAGCATAGTGGTTAGACATTTATATAATTTAAGAAGTGATTCCCCCTCTTTGGTCTAGTACCCACTTGGTGCGATACATGGTTATTACCATATCATTCCCTATGCTTTACTTTGCATTCCATGATTATTGTATAACTACCAATTTGTACTTCTCAATCCCTTCACCTTTTGCACCCTGCCCCCCCACCCCCTCATCCATCTATCACCCCAACAAATCTAGTACCCATCTGACACCATATATAGTTATTACAATATTATTGACTATATTCCATATGCTATACCCTACATCACCATGACTACTTTGTAACAATCAATTTGTGCTTCTTAATCCCTTCACTTTTTTTCACCCATATTCCCAACCTGCCTCCCATCTGGCAACCATCAAAATGTTTTCTCTGTCTGCAAGTTTGTTTCTGTTTTGTTGGTTTACTTTGTTCTTTAGACTCCATATATAAGCAAAATCACATTACACCTGTCTTTCTCTGTCTGACATACTCCACTCAGCACTATGGACCATCAGGTCCATCCCTGCCACTGCAGATGGCAAGAACCCATTCCTTTCCATGGCCAAGCAAGATTCCATTGTATATATGTACCACCCCCTCTTTATCCGTTCTTTCAGGCTGCCTCCACATCTTGGCCATTGTAAACAATGCTGCAATGAACACATGGATGCATATATCCCCTCAAAGTAGCATTTTGAAACACAAAACGGTTTCTTGGAATAAATACCCAGAAGTGGG